GTTACCTGAAATTGAAACCGAAATCGACCCTGTGTTAAGCAAAACCAACCTGGTCAGTTTGAGTCGGTTTTGGTCGGTTTTGGCTCTAAGTTCAACCATGGTAATAAATTAAAATTTCAAAATTTTGATTCTTTGAGAGTCAAATTGTATTAGAGATTGTGCTTGAGCTGAGGGGCTAAGGGGGGTGGACCAAGTTAGAATAGAAGTTATCAAAAAAATAGAAAGTCAAACTGTATTAGAGAAAGAAGACTGGAATTTGTATATTTCAAGAAACCTTCTTATCTAAGTAAAAAAGGACACCTAATTCTAATTGTAATTGGTTGCCTATTTGGTGTAAAATACCATAGAAACTAGGATCCTTTGATTCTTTTCTTTTAACTTTTCCAAAAAAATTCCTTGTCTAGTTGTCTTACAATATTTGCCATTAATGTCATTCCTAACTAGAAGACTAGAAATTAAGTTAGGTTGTAACTAGGATAGAGACAACTTAGTTAAGTAGGAACTAAGTAGGTTGTAACTACTAAGTCAGTTCGATTCGGGTCGGTTTATGATTTTTTACAACCCGAAACCGACTAGTGCTGAAGAAAACCCGGCCGACAGGTTGGGTCGGTCCGGGTTGGGTCTTCTTATGAACAGCCCTAGTTACTGGTCATTTTATTGATGAAATTTGGCTTTTAAATAAAAGAATTTTAAGTTTTACTAGGCTTGAATAGCCACATACTAGCCTAGCTATTGTTGCAAGTATTTTAAATACTTTACATGCTTATGGAATTGACAATCAGGGACTAGGGGTGTTTTTAAGGATGAGAATTGGGTCATTTCTACCTTGTTCTTATGCCCAATTGGAGTGGGTGACTCCCTTAAAGCTATGATCTTTGTAGTAATGGAAGGAGTCCAAAAAGCTAAGGAGATGAATATCAGAAAACTCATAATTGAAGGGGATTTGGAGGTGGTGATAGGGTGGCTGAATAACGACAACAATGACTTATGGAATTACAACAATGAGAGGAGAAAATTTAAGTGGCTAGTGCAGGAGATGGAAGTTAAGATGAGCTGGGTTAAAAGATCAACTAATTCCTTAGCTAATGGATTAACTAAACAAGGGGTAGAAAGGGATTCAATATTTAGGGCTAAGTTGTAATATTATTGTTTCTTCCTGTTCTTTTTTTTTTTCTTTCTTGAAGGCCCAAGTTGTATTTGGAAGATAAGAGTGTTTGTCTTCCTTTTTGTAATTATTCTTATGTTGAATTAATAAAATTGTTATTGATAAAAAAAATATTTTCTATTAGTTTTGATAATGCTAGTAATAATGATTCAATAATAAATATGTTAAAATCTCAATTAAAACCATATTTAAATGGTAAATTATTTCATATCAGATGTGAATGTCACATCTTAAACTTATGTATTCATGATGCATTAAATATTATTTTTACTCATATTTCTAAAATTAGAAATTATATTATATATATATTAAAAGTTTTAGAGAAAGATAATAAAAATTAAATATTTATGTCAAAATTATGGTTTAAAATATAAACATTTTATATTAGATGTTAGACATAAATGGAATTCTACATATGCTATGTTAGAAAGTTGTATTTCTCACAAACACATTCTTAGTGATTTTTATAATGCAAAAATGCCTACTGATATTATATTTGAGGAAGACTAGGAAATGATAATTTGTATAAGAGGTTTTCTAAAACATTTTTATGGTGCAACTAATGAATTATTGGGTATTTATTATCCAACTAGTTATAATTTAGCTTATCAATTAATGATGTTTAGCAATTGTTTTGCAAAATATAGAAAGAATCCATAATTTAAAAATATTGTTGAAATAATGGAAAATAAATTTAAAAAATATTGGAGAATATTTCTCCTCTTTATTGCTTAGCTACAATATTAGATCCTAGGATTAGGAAAGATGATTTAGATATTTTACATGAAGCATATTGTGAAAATATGAATATTGAAATTGGAAATAAGAAAGAAGAAATTAATAGTTTATTATTTGAAACGTTTAGATTATATGAATTTGAAGTAATAGGAAATAATAAAAATTTTACAACTTGTACAACCGCATCTTCCACTTCTGAACTTGAGTTCAGTAGTGGAAGAGAAAAACTTTTTTATTTAATGCAGAAATCCATTGCATCGACAACAAGTTCATTTTTTGAACTTAATTGTTATTTACAAGCAAATTTTTCTACTTAAGGTGATTCTTCCTTCACCCCGGAGGGAACAAATAATTTTGATATTTTAGCTTGGTAGAGTGAACATGCAAAAAATTATTCAGTTCTTGCCGCCATGACATTTGATCTACTAACTCCTCCGATGTCTATGAGTGATGAAAGTCTAGAAATGTATATATGCTTTAAGGATTGGCTGGATGCTGAAGATAGATTACAAGACAAAGGAGGGCATGACACTACACTTGATGTTTCACCTGAAGCAGAGGATCAAAGTCAAAAACAACAGGAAAAAATGATGAAGTCAACATTTTTTGTATACTCAATAGTTGTATAGCATTTTTTCAAATTATTGTAAATTTTGTTTTAATTTTATTTAATTTATTTGATATTTTTTAATAACATAATTTTTTATTTTCATTTTGTAACTATGTGGTATTTTTTATATTTTATTAATTTATTCCATTTTCCAATTTTTATATTTCATTCGTCCAACCATTGAATGCTTTGTATCATTCAAATTTAAATGAGATAAAATTCTAAATTTTCTTCCAATTTGTTATTCACTTTGAGTCTTTGCCTCTTTGACTTCTTATTTGGTTAAGTATTTTTTCATTTCTTTGTTAGATTTCTTATTTTTTCAAATAGTTCCCAGAGGAAAGTTAAATATTTTAGTTTTACTTAGAAAAGAAATAAAAAATAAAAAAAATGTCAAAACAAACAAAAAAAACTAATCTGACCCGGTTTGGCCCATGCCCAAGGCTTGACCTGTAGCCCAGCTCGACACGGCCTATAGCCCAATCGGCCCAGGCCCACATGGGGTTGGGCCGTGGGGCCGTGCCGGGCCAACCCCCTAAATTATCCCTAGGGAAGTACACTAATCGACAAGATTTTGGTTTGAAGAGAAGTTGCAATGTTTTGTGTTTTAGAACCAACCACAAATGGTTTCAAAACATGCTATACCCCTAAAAGAACGTTTAAGGTGTGTGGTGTGTTTCAAACGCAAGCAATCTATCCACATTACCAAACTCCAAATACACCTTAGGTATGTATATCAATGTTTTAAAAACTGACCCAGAATTTGGCCATCGGTTTTCAGGTTGGCGGTTTGAACAAATGGCCCGTTTTGATAAAAAAATTAAAAATTAAAAAAATTATAATTAAAATAAAACGGCCAAAAACATTGAACATGTCAAATGGGTTGATAGTTCAACCACCCAGGTCAATGGGTCGTTGACCAATTCAACAGTTTTTGGCCAAGAACCGGGTTTGCACTAAAACGGAACCGGTTGCCTAGACGGTTCCTGGTTCAAACGGTCCGACCATCCGGGTCAATGACGGTTCATAAACATTGATGTATATATTGCACCCGTTATAGGGGCCAAAGCCACATCACATGTGCCAAAAAAAATGATATACTTACTGAACCATTAAGACATGGTGGAGAAAGTGGAGGATTTGATCATCACAACTCACAAAGTTGGTAAATATTCCATGGCTTCCCCAACTGTAGTATAGAAGAGATAAGCAAAGTTATTTGCAATTTCTCAAACCAAAATCAAATTATCAAGGGCTCCATAGAGAGAACCAGCTAGCTTTGTGATCTGCAAATTCAATGGCTCTGGACACACATACACACACAACAAATCCCATTTATCTGAACTCCTTCCTCGGAATACCCCCCTTTGTGTTCAGCTGAATTTCTGCCTGACCTTTGAAGGCCTGTTCTTCAACTCCCTGAATAGACTTCCCAGCAGAATTCTCTTTACAAAACTATTCCTGCTATGGTTTGGAGACTTAGAAGCTTCTGCAACTGTCATCTGTTGAGGAGGAACCCAGACACTAATTCACTAGAAATCAATTGATAAACTGAAAACCAAACAATACAAAAGGATGGGAATTGCACTTAAAAGGAAGTTGAAGTAATCAGTGAGGTCTTCTAATGGCCACCTTCCAATAAAAGCATCCTCACCATATACAACATTCATTTGGGTATGTTGATGCTTCAGATTTGCACCTACTTTGGAGCAAGACAGTACCAGATAACTCCAATATCTTGGAGCTCGATTGGTTACCATAAAACTCCATTTCTATGCACTTCAGTTCTGAGATCAGAGACATGAAGACTAACCATCAAAATACCACAATTAAGGAACTCAGGTGCAGTTGCCGAGGACCACCAGTAATGATGCGGGGATGGTTGTATTTATCCCTCTGGATTCGTGCATCTCACTTTTCATTTGAATTCAAATAGAATGAAGCAAACAGTAATATATTTCCTCCAGCAATATTAGCCGAAAGCTGGTTAGAATTTCAATCCAAAAGGAGGGACAATCATTAAGCTTATCCAATGGAAAGTTGATTTTAGTATTGCTTGATGATTGCATCAATCTTTTCCCCAGCAGTACTGGGAATACATGTTGGTTCTGCAATTAGGAGATATATGAAGCTGTTAACGTGGCATCTATGCATGGAAGTGGGGCCAACATTCAATCCACAAGAAACAAGATGTAGGATACGGAGAAGTGATTGGATAATGCTAAATATCAAATAGACAACAATAAAGGGCCAAAAGCCCAAAACCAAGAATGAATTTGATTCCATCAAGCTCCCCAAGTCTCATTGGCTTTGATTATGCATGTAAGATATATGCAGGCTTCGAAATCCCACTGAAATGCAGATCCCTAATGTTGGTTGATCAGCGTATTATTTGGTTTCTACCTTAGGCGTAGCTTGGATTTCCTTAAATTTCAATGAAAATTAATAAAAAAATAATTAGCAAGAAGCAAACACCCCAGAACCATACAAAATCTTCATCTTTATTCATTACCTTCGTTTTCTAGAGTTTTTACATAGAAGTCAGATCTGCAAAACAAGGTTAAATAACAGATCCAGCTTAATAAGCTGGACCAGGCACAGTGGAATGGGTTTATAACTGGAGATGCAGACTTGATCAGGCATCAAGCTGGCCACTCATAGGCCATAGCGGCTTCTACATCCTGGACCAGGAGCGGCTCAAGCTAGCTTGGATTGTCCCGTGTGGTTCGTCGGTCGGAATATAAACATCATCATCAAACTGCAAAAGTAGTCAGAGGATCATCAGTAAGCTAAGAAAGTCTAGCCCAAGCATCTGGGATGCACAGAAGTGTTGGATTACCCTCCTCATGCGGAGGCGGGACCCACTCATGTGTTGGGGTCTTTTCCCAACACATAACTTGAAAGAAAGAAACACAAAAAGGTTGACTCTTGATATTCTCTCATAAGTGGATAGTAGGACCCACTCTCCACTATCTTTTGACTTTCACTACAAGCCGCATTTTGTCTTAGAGAGAAGAGTCTCTTGGCATTCTAAACACTCACGTTGGTATCCTCTTTGAGAAGAAGAGAGTGGGAAAGGGAAATTTCCACTTTCACAAGAGAAGTGATTCAAACTCCTTGGTACGTGAACAAGAACACATTCAATCAACCATTGCGACTGCTGTTTTACACTGATTCCATCAAGCTTTTGATGGATTTCTTGGCTCTTCAACAGTGGTTTTGGAGAGGGTTTGGGAAGCTTGTTTGGTGAGATATTTTTTCATGCTTTGTTGATTGAAACATATCTTGTTTGATGACCGTTATTGTGTATTCAAGAGAGGTTCTTGTCTCTTGAAGTTGCTATCCTCTAGTTGGAACTAGAGAAGTTGTAACCCATTATTCTTGCTGATAGTGGATGATTTCTGGGTTAGTGCCCCATGGTTTTTACTCTTTACATTGGAGAGGTTTTCCACGTTAAAATTCTGATGTGCTATTTCTCTTGTGGTGTTTGATTATATTTCTCTTTGGCTATTATATGTTATTTCTCCTTTGTCATTTACATTGCTGATTTGCACACTGTTAAACAAGGGATTTTAATTTCAACAAGAAGTTTATGTTCAAATACTTGAATGTAAAATATAAAGGAATAAGGTACGGATTTCTAGATGCTTTCAATATTACCTAAACATAGCTTCCTCAATCTTACATACCCATTTTTTCTTTTCATCAATAAGTACTGAAGACCCAAAATTTTCCCTTTGGTGGATTTTTTTTTCCTGTCTTCGTTTTCCAAGCCAGGCTTTTAGTTCTTACTCTTTCCTTGTCCTTAGACGTGCTGGCGTAGCAGGAAGCTTAAGGAGAGAAAGATGATTACCGTCCTCTTCCCAAAGGATTCTCAAAGAGAGTAATGAAATCTCAAAGGAAACTGTATTTAATTCATTGAATTCAAGCCTGTACAATGACTTATTTATAACCAAAGGCCCAACTTTCCTAAAATAGTAAAAATTCTAAAAATAGTAAAACCACTAATTTGACTTAAAACTTTACAAAACATCATAATTTAATAAAAGAAGATTTCCTAATCAAACTTGGACTTAAACAAGCTAAAACAGCAAGATGTGAAACTTATTGTAAAACGAAAGTTAAAAAAAAAATTTTGGAGGTCCGAGAGAACACAAATGAATCTGAACCTGGCAAGTAGTGTTCTCCAAGAAGATCGTTTTGATATATTATATGTTGAAAACGGACGTGCGAATCAAAAGTTATGGCTGTTTAAGTTTCAGTGCGTGTTTTGGCCTCTTTTCTTTCTTGCTTTCGATCATGGGCTTCTAAAAATTGTTCAGCAACTTGTTATACATCACATGCATTTTTCCATTGTCTTGTAACCATAACATTTTTCTTTTCCCTTTGATTCTTCTAACTTCTTATTTTCTTTTCATGACATTTTTCTAGAGCTGTTAGGACTTTCTAAAGAATACCAATTTGGCGGCCACCACCAAGATCTGAATTTGAAAGGATGTAGCACCAAGGGCAGTAAACAGACTGATCCCGAATTAGATCATGTTTAATACAGAATAAGCCTGCTACATGTGTGAATAGTAGAGTCCAAGACCCAATCTAGGGCTAACAGAAAGATCTATTGAAGAGAGAGAGAGAGAGAGAGAGAGAGAGTCATTTCATCCACCAGTAAAAAGAAGCAATTCTTATGTAAGGGTCTAGAAGAGCTAAGGACTAAGGAGTATGAAAAAAGGACATGTGTTGGGGTAGTGAGAAATGATTTGAGAGCTAACAATTTAGTAATTAATGTGGCCTACGGTAGAATGGAATGCCGAATGCCAACAGTATTCAAGTAGTTGACCCCATATAGTTGGGATAAGACTTTTCCAAGTTGAGTATATAAACAAAGGCACATAAGCATACAGAGAACTAAAGAGAGTAGCCCATCCAAATTTATATATGTTGCTCCCAGATCCTAGATAATAAAATCAAACAACCCAATTCTTGAGCAACCACAATGTCATGGATGCATAATGACATTGGAGGCAGGCAAGGTTTTTATGTGCAGAATAATGACAAAAATTTGTTACATGCCTATCTGCACGAACTCCAAGGTTTTATCTTGTCTATCAGAATCAGTATTTTAAAAGGCATTGGAGGCAGGCAAGGCACTAAGAAAGCAAACAGAAGCTTACAAACATAGACAAGCTTGCCTCTATCTTGGATGCATTTGGAAATCCATACACCTTGTATAAAGCACATGCCTCATATGTTCTTACCTTTTAAGCTAGGGGAATAATTTCTTCTTCTTCGCCATTACAATATTAGCATAATACAAAAGAGAAAAAATACTCTAAATTTGTTTATTGTAATTTTAAAGTAAAACTGTGAATAGAAGTGTGGGCACCATTGCTTTGATTGCTTTCATTTCATTCATTTGACTATGAGATGACACACTTGTTTATGTTAATATTTTGCAGTTCATATAAGTTGTTAATCTGGAAATTTGATTGATTTGTGATTTTGCAAGCGATATATTGATAACTAATGATACCCATATAATCATGGATTATAATACTTCATGCGGTGATACTTTAATTTTATATTTAAATGTGATGATTTTATTATTATAAATTGAAAATATGAAAAATTCTCACAGTTTTACTAATTTTGTGTTATTGATTATATTAATTTGTTTATCTAATTATTTGTTTTAATTATTTATTAATTAAAAAAATCCATGCTTCGGAGGCTTACACCTCTTGTGTTCTGGTTTACACTTCATACCTTAGCATAGTATAATGCCTCAAGTCACACTTCCATGTTTTAAAACTGTTATAGTCGACAATACAAGGGTATTTTGGTCATTTTTCTATCTAGTTGAGAGTGAATAGTCTATTTATTTAAGTTTTAAGTTATGTCCCATACTTAATGAGGGACAATATTGTCTTCTATAATTCAGCTTACACAATATAAATACAAAGTGGGTCGGCTAGGGGGAGTGACTTTTTCTCTCCCAGACTGAACCCTTCTTCTCCTCTTTCTCTTCTTCTTCTTCTTCATACTTCAAACCTAGAACAAATAGGATTAATCAACCTATTCACATGGTATTAGAGCAATAAGAAATCAGTTCGATTTTTTAATCTTCTCTCATTGCCCTTCGTCTTCCTGGGATCGCCACCATATCTGATTTCATTTTTAAAAACTCTTAGACAGATTGGAAGTTCGGTATGGGGTCAAAAAAGGAGTGGTCATTTATTGTTCTTGGAGGTAAATATGCCTCCAGTTTCTATGGTGGTGTTCGTTGTGGTGGTATACTGAATACCCACTACTCGATGGTACGAAGAGGGCTGACTGTGAACAGGTGTGAACACAAATTCCTATTCGGCTAATAATGGACTGCGGATGCTTCTTTTTGGTCTGGATTTCATTTATGTGCCAGTGTGGATTGGTAGGTATGCATATGAACCTCTTATTCTTTTGTTTATACCTGGTTATATGAGTTGAAAGTAGGGTTTTCAAATGCTGAATTCATGACAACAGTAGTGTGGTCATAATTATATTGTGCTGTGTAGTGTGTGGTGTGGTGCTGAATAGTAGAGGGTGACTACTTTGTTTATAATAGTGATTTCTTTGTGAAGTGAGGTGAACCGATTAGGATGGCTTCGACTGGAGATGGTAGTGACAATAAGGCAGGTGTTATGATTTCTCTTGATTACTTAAATGTTCAAATGACTTCTATTAAGTTAAATGTTGAGAACTATATGCCATGGGCCAAATCTGTGGAGGTGTTTTTAAGAGCCAAGAAAAAGGTGAAACATGTGAGAGAGGAGAAACCCCCCTCTGATTCTCTAGTGTTTAGTGATTGGGAACAGGAGGATGCACAAATTATGACCTGGTTGTGGAATAGCATGGAACCTAAAGTTAGTGTGAAATTTATATTCCTGGATATAGCTAACGAAATCTGGGACCATGCTAAGAAACTTTATTCTGGCCAAGATAATACCACTAGAGTATATCGGCTTTACCAAGAGTACTTTAATCTGAAGCAGGGTAACCAAAGCTTGGAAGAATACTATGCAAGCATGAGAAATCTCCATAATGAGCTTAATGTATATCATCCTCTGACTCCAGATGTTCAAGTTCAAAAACAATAACGAGAGCAACTTAATGTGACAAGGTTTCTAGTGGGTCCAAAGACTGAATATGAACCTGTTTGAGCACAAATACCGGGAGGGTATGCTCTCCCCTCTCTTAAAGAAGTGTTTGCCCATCTTCGGAGAATTTCTATTGATTCTACAGAGTCTTCCTCTCTCTCGGACAGATATGGTTTTGTGGTGACTAGAGGGGGAGGTCGTGGAAATAGAGGTGGTGGAAGTGGTGGCTGTGGGTTTCTAGAAACCCAAGGTGGTCCTATGTTTAATCGTTCTAGTGGCCGTAATGGAGGTCGAGAGTCAGGGGGAGGTCGTGGTAGAGGAAGAAGTAATGGAACTAGAAAATGCACATACTGTGGATTAGAGGGACATACTGTTAATTGCTGTTATGATTTACATGGTCCACCCAACACTTGGGCTAACCATGCTATAACTAGTGGCAGTGGTACAATTAGTGACAACCGGCAAACTGATCAGACCCCCTCCATATCTACTGGTGCTTATGGGAAGGAAATGGTGAGTGTACCATGTGGGGTATATGAGAAGTTCCTTCAGACATCATCTCAACAAAATACAGCTACTCTTGCCCATTCAAGTATGGCTTGCTTGGCTTCCAAACCCTCGCACTGGATCATTGACTTTGGAGCCTCGGATCATATGTTTGGGACTCGGATATATTTTCTTCTTTTTGCCCATCCTCTACATTCCAAACAATTACTCTTGCTAATGGTTCTACATCTCCTATTTGTGGTGTTGGTGATTTTGATCTGACCTCCTTATCCTTACCCTTTATTTTATATGTACCTAAGTTCCCTTTTAATCTTTTGTCTGTTAGTAGACTAACTAAGTCACTTAATTGTTCTATAACCTTTTATCCTTCCTCTTGTGTGTTTCAGGATCTCAAGACGGGGATGAAGATTGGTGGAGGGCATGAAGCAGGTGGATTGTATTATCTTGATGGAGGTGACCCGCTAGTAGCCTTTCAATCATCTCTTACTCCTCTCCAATGGCACTGCAGACTTGGTCATCCATCTCTTAAGGCTCTGAAGTTGCTGGTTCCGTCCTTAAGTCATATTCCATCGTTGGATTGTGAGTCATGTTAGCTTGGGAAACACCATAAAGTCTCTTTTAGTCCAAGAGTTGATAGTCGTGTTTTGACTCATTTTTCTTTAGTTCATTCAGATGTTTGGGGTCCAAATAAAGTGGTGTCGTACAATGGTTATAAGTATTTTGTAATTTTTGTTGATGACTTTTCAAGAATGACATAGCTCTACATTATGAAAGATCGAAGTGAATTATTCTCTATTTTCCAAAAATTTTATGCTAAAATACGTACCCAACTTGGAGTTCATGTTAAAATTCTTCACTCAGATAATGCAAAAGAATAACCTCAACACCATTTCAGGAATACTTGGAGCACCATGGGATAATTCATTAAACTTCTTGCTCATATACCCCACAACAAAATGGAGTGGTTGAACGGAAAAATCGACACTTACTTGAAACCACTCGTCGGTGCACTATGCTTGATATAAATGTCGCAAAGCTTTTTTAGAGTCATGCTGTCTTGACATCATGTTTCCTTATCAATCGGATGCCCATGTCCATCCTTGGAAGTCGATCACCTTTCTCTGTCTTGTTTCCTACTCTTTCTTAATTCCCTCTTCCTCCAAGAGTCTTTGGTTGTGTTTGCTTTGTTTAGAATTTAGGACCTGGTTTAGATGAGTTAGATGTGCATGCTACCAAGTGCATCTTCCTTGGATACCCCAGGACCCAAAAAGGGTATAAGTGTTATAACCCTAACTCTCATCGGTCCATTGTGTGCTCAGATGTCACTTTCTTTGAGTCGGTTCCTTTTTTCTCGAGTATTGAGGTTCCTTTTCTTGCTCCTGTGGTTCCACTTCCTATTCCTGTTGATGACCCCCTTCCCGTGGTTCCTGTTCCAGCTATAGATTCCCTTCCCGTGGCTTCTGTTCCATCTCTAGCTTCTCCAGTACAGGCTAATACTGAGAAGCCACCAATAACACAAGTGTATACTCACAGAAGGGCACCGGCCCCTCCTCCAATTCAGACCTCATTAACAGATCTTGTGATTGCACCTCCTCCTTCTAACCTTGATCTTCCTTTTGCATTGCGGAAAGGTATACGTAGTTGCACATCCCATCCTATTTCTCTTATGTTTCCGTTGCTCACCTTTCTACTTCCCATCGCCACTTTATATCTTTGCTATCCTCTGTTTCCACTCCTAAGATTGTACAGGAAGCCCTTACCTCTCCAGGGTGATGACAAGCAATGGAAGAGGAATTGTCTGCTTTACAACACAATCACACGTGGGAACTTACTACTCTCCCTCCCGGTAAGCATGTTATTGGGGGTAAGTGGGTCTACATAATGAAGTATCTTCCACATGACAATGTGGAATGATTAAAGGCCAGGTTAGTGGCCAAGGGCTATTCTTAGTTATATGGTGTTGACTATACAGAGACATTCTTTCCTGTGGCTAAGATTGGTTCATTTCGGGTATTAATTTCATTAGCAACAATGTATGATTGGCCTCTCTTGCAACTAGACATCAAGAATGCCTTCCTGCATGGTGATTTGATTGAGGAAGTATATATGGTGCAACCACCAGTTTGTTGCTCAGGGGGAGGATAAAAAGGCAATCTATGGGCTAAAACAATCTCCACGTGTGTGGTTTGGTAGATTCAGTGAAGTAGTGAAGAACTTTGGCATGAAACAATGTCAAGTAGATCATTTTGTGTTTGGCCATGACTTAAAAGATGGGACAATCTTGATAGTGGTGTATGTGGATGATATTGTCATAATTGGTAGTGACAACAATGGGATTGACAGATTAAAAAACTTCCTACAAAATCACTTTCATAGGAAGGATCTTGTTAAGCTGAAATACTTCCTGGGAATAGAAGTTGCAAGGTCAAGGCATGGAATTAACTTGTGTCAAAGGAAAAATGTCCTTGACTTACTTGAAGAAACAGGGTTGTTAGGTGCCAAACCAGCCGAAACACCTATGGAATCAAATGCTAAGTTGAGTATTGATGCAGGTGAAGAGTTTGATGATCCTGGAAGGTACAAGAGGTTGGTGGGAAAATTGAACTATCCGACTATCACACGGCCAGATATATCATTTGCTGTAAGTATGGTGAGTCAGTTTATGCAACATCCTAGGGTTCCACATTGGGAAGTCGTTCTAAGAATAGTTAAGTATCTAAAGGGTGTTCCAGGCCATGGTCTGTTACACAAAAGTGAAGGAACTCTTGAGATAGAAGGGTATACAAATGCTGATTAGGCTGGATCTGTGTCAAACAAAAGATCAACTACAGGATATTGTACATTCCTTAGTGGCAATCTAGTAACTTGGAAAAGCAAGAAACAAATAGTGGTGGCAAGGAGCAATGCAGAAGCTGAGTACAGAGCTATGACTCATACTACATGTGAACTAGTATGGCTGAAGAATTTGTTGCAAGAAATGGGGTTCTCAATTGACTGACCCATGATGTTATACTGTGATAATCAAGCTGCTATACACATTTCTTCTAATCCAGTCTTCCATGAGAGAACAAAGCATATTGAAGTCGATTGCCACTTTGTAAGAGAAAAAGTGATCGATGGAGTGATAACTACAGCTCATGTAAGTTCAAGAAACCAGTGGGTGGATTTGTTTACAAAGGGGCTGTCTCGGGGCAGAGTAGATTATATATGTGACAAGATGAGACTATATAACATATATTCTCTAGCTTGAGGGGGAGTGTTAGAGTCGACAATACAAGGGTATTTTGGTCATTTGTCTATGTAGTTGAGAGTGAATAGTCTGTTTTATTTAAGTTATATGTCCCATACTTAATGAGGGACAATATTGTCTTTTGTAATTCAGCTTATACAATATAAATACAAATTGGGTCGGCTGGGGGGAGTGACTTTTTCTCTCCCAGACCTAACCATTCTTCTTCTTCTTCTTACATACTTCGAACCTAGAACTGAATAGGATTAATCAACCTATTCACAAAAACATTGACCAGGATTGTATCCATTCCACAATCAATTTCTGGAGTGATCCATATGCATTTGCATATTAAGAGGTTAATTGTTGGCTTCATTTTGTTTCTATCGGATTGCTGTTAGTTTTTATAAGTCAAATCCTAAACTAATAAAGAAACCATACCTTAACAATGGCTGGGTTGTCTTTGCTCGATATATTAGCTGGTAAGAAATGGAGATTTGGCATTCTCAGATTGATTGATGATATATCTGGGAACCTGAAACCATGGTAATCAAGTATTAATCCCAAAGACACCACAATATGAAAACCCTGAACAATCTCACATGAAACTATGCATTCATGTGTATGTCTGTGTGCGTAGGGATTCTCATCAAAAACTGAAAAACCAAAAAAAAAAAACACACTAAAAAATCCAGTTAACCAAACCTACCGGTCTATATTTACATATATTTTTAATATATATCATATATTATCTATACATTATATTTAAATATATATGCATTATATATAAACACATTATATTTAGAATTATCTATTTATAATATATATATATATTCTAATAAATATAAAAAACCGAAGAACCAAATTGTTCAAAAACCAAAACCGTTCAGCCACTTAACCGATGATACCAGTTTGGTTTCAATAAAGAGCCCACCAAACTGTGAGCACCCCTATGTGTGTATGGATAGATAGAGAGATAGAGTTAGAGGTATATATATATATATATATAGAGAGAGAGAGAGAGAGAGAGAGAGAGAGAGAGAGAGACCTGTTCAGAACAGCCCTAGCCATGTCATAAAGGGTGCTTTGAACAGATGGACTGTATACTCCTTTTACATGACCAAAGAATGTGCTAATCAATACTTTCTTCACATCCAGGAACTTCTCAGTGAAGTACAGAGGCTTTGCAGGAATGCTAGAGAGAGATTCAAAATGGTACCTGCAGGAAAATAAGTTCTTGATCAGAAATTTGTTCATTAGAATTTGGAAAAGTTAAGCAAGCAATGTGAAACAAGGTTTAATATGTCCAGTGGTCAATGTTCTAAAAGCTGTATTGGAACGGATGGTTGAACCATTTCGGCTTTCAACTGGTGGTCAGTTCAACCTGGGATTGTCCAATGCACAGAAGCCCTCCTCTGGACACAAGAAGGCCCATATGTCTGGGTGAACTGCATATCTGAATGCTCATAAAACCAGGCAACTAATTTCTAGTTTTTCCAAGTAATTGCAAGTATGTTACAATTTAAAACCCAAATATGTTTTCTTTTTCTTGCTTTAACGTTTAAAGAGGAGGTAAAGAATTATGGGTTTTATTGAAGAAATCTATTACGGTCCTAAATGTTAAAGTGTTGGCTTGATGCGTTCCAAGTTTCCAACAATCTAAAGGCTTTTAGTGTATTGGTCAAGCATGCAACAAATGGTATCGGAGCCTACCACCACGTCTCAAAGTTGAATCATAGAGAGAGTTACCTAGAACAGAGTGAGAGCTACCACGGAAAGGGCTACCTGGAGTAGAGTATAAGTTGTCACAGAAAGGGCTACCTGGAGCAAAGTGAAATCTGCCAAAGGGAAAGGGCTACCTATTGCCAGAGTGTGAGCTGTCATTGAAAGGGCTACCTACTGCTGGAGTGACAGTCATCTTGGAGAGGGCTACCTTCTGCGAGAGTGAGAGCTGCCCAGAGTGAAGCCACCAATATGTCGGCTGCAGAAGTGTGGTGGTATATTACGGTCCTAAATGTTAAAGTGCTTGGATTGACGCCTACAACAGTCATAAGCCTTTTAGAATATTGGTCAATCATGTAACAAAATCTCTTTCTTTATCTCTTCTAGATTGGAAACCTAGGTTTTTTATTATTCTCCCCACCCTTTTATTTTTTAATTTTCTTGTTTATTTCACTGGCTGAGGGTGGGCCTTGTTGCAATGGTTGGGCTGCTCCATTGTGACCTTGATGACCAGGGTTCAAGTCTTGGAAACAGCCTCTCTGTATATGCAGGGGTAAGGTTGTGTACATCTGTCCCTCCCCAGAGCCCACATTAGTGGGAGCCTCGTGTACTGGGCTGCCCTTTTTATTGTTCTCACTGGCTTTTAACCTGGTTTTGACCACAACAACTGCAGAGATTTGAATAACTACCAAGTTTTTCTTGTCCCCTCCTTTTGTGCCACTGTTAATTATTAAAGCACTATCCTTCTATTGTGCAGGGAGGTATACTGGACAAAATTCATTATACTTGTCTTGCAAGTTTAATGCCAACAATTCCATGAGCAGCTTCATGGGAAAAGAGACTTCATTAAATTTGTTTCAGCTAACCATTCTAACCCCCTCCCCCTTAACCAAAGCCTCCATCTTTGTGCCACTTCAAATTGAACCCTTCTTAGTTTCATCTTTAGTTGGAAAGAAAGGATTTACTGACAATTGTTTTTTTTTTGTGAATTTTAAGGTATCCTGGGGTTTCCACCATTGGAAGCTCATTTGCAAAGTTTTACTAGGAACACTATGAAAATGGATTCAATCAAAACAATAATTTGTGAAAGTCAAGAAAACCCAACAAAGTGGGAGGTGGAAGGCAAATAAGAAAACTATTTTTTATTTTACAAATTTTCATGATCACTATTTTATGCTATTGGTGCACATATAATGGATTAATGATTACTCAACGAGGGACTCTTTTTCAATTTCCCCTATTTTTATCTCTCCAAATTTTATTCTTTATTAGATTCTGTACAATGTAATGATGACACATAAGTTAATAATAAAGGCTTGAACTACTAATGGGAAACCACCAACTCCAAAGGTTCAATCTCTGATTTTCAAAAAAAAAAAAATGCAAGAATTACCAATATCTAGACATGTTTTGTTTTGGTTTGAAGATGGGGATTATCTTAATATCTGGATTAAGGAGGTTTTCAAGATTAAATCTTTTCTTTTTACTCTTTAAATGGGTGCCTAACTTTGAACCTGGATGGGAGCCCTCAATGGTTCCTGTTTGGATTCGTTTTCCTGCTCTCCCAGTGAATTTCTACGTGGAAGACATGCTTCCATCTATTTCTAGTGAAATAGGTCCAGTTCTGACATTTGATCCAGCAACAATCTCTCTTTCAAGGATCATTGCGGCTCGTGTATGTATTGAATTCGATTTGCTTAAAGCTCACCCTCATAGGATCTGGATCAGCTCTAGCCAAGGTGGGTTCTGGCAAGATATTGTCTATGATCATCTACCATCCTACTGCACTCGTTTCAAGATCAGACATGTCAATCAAGATTGTGAGAAAAACAAGATGAAGAAATGCATGGGGTGCAATGATGATCAAAAGAAGGAAGTCCCTGCTGCAGCTGAGGAACCCTCCACTTGGGTTTTGAGGGAAGGCAAGATTCGCCAAGAATGGCAGTCTTGACCTCCATGTGATCCATCTACTACTACTAAGGAGAAGATTAGATGGTGAACAGGGTGCTGATCTTGGTGTTGCTTTTAATAAGATCATGCTCTAGCAGTAATCTCTGTTTCTGTTGATCAGGATGTTAGTCATGTTCCCTTGTGAGTAGATCAATTAGTTGAAGTAGAGCAGGGAGCAAATCAGATTGTTGAAACGGATCAGCAAACTGTGAATCCGAATGACAAGGTGGATTCGCCTACAGTTGTGACAACAGTTGTAAATACATCATTGACAAAATGCTGATATGGAGCCAGAGTAGGAACAAGAAATTCTAGACAAGGAAAGTCCTCAAGAAATTGTGTTGAGGGAAAATTTAGAAGCAATTCAAGTTTCGATAGCTGCCCATGAGGTTAACCCGGTTAAGAATCAAGAAACAAGGTCGAGTTCTTTTCTACCCATGATGAAGAAAGGAAGTTGGGATGACATGGTGATGAGAGCCAAAGAGCCTCTTCAAAGGCTTATCCACAAATCTCGTCAATTTAGAGTCAGAGCACTCCCAAGGTAAAAGAAATAGTAAAGTCTGATTGCATAGCCACTTCTGCTCAAAAAGAAGTTCACATCGATAAGAAACCTGTGGAGGATGGTTCATCCAATGAAAATAATGACCCAAATCAAAACTGGATGACAGTGGGGAAAAAGAAGAAGCATCACAAATCTAAGGAAGATCGAGAGACAGCTCCCAATAAACAAGCAGAACCAGTTTGAAGATCATCAATGGAAAACAAAGGTTTTCACCCCCATTATTCATCTTAAAATCTTTGTTTCCTATTTTCAAGCTAGTGTTTATAGCATTATGCTCTGTGTAAGATTTGAGGGTCAGGTTTAATGCCCCCCCCGCGGGCCTTTTTTATGATTAATAAGAATTTTCCTTTTCCTCAAAAAAAAGTGATACAAATAGCACTGTGAGATCAAATACTAAGATTTCTCAGAAAATGAAAATCATCCAAGATACTTTCTGTTCTTATGAAGCATTTTTAACCCTTATAAGCTTTGGATGAATGAATGACATACCTCCACAAAGCACTGACTTCTGTTGCTAACATTCTTTCCCTTGTTTCTGGAAGAGCTGTGTACTCATCCCTAACAAATCCTTCAAAACCTGACTGTTAATAAAAATTAACAAGGTGAAAAAACAAGTGAAAAATTAGATTGATATTTATATGCACTATTGTTAAAAGAATAGTATTTCTGGGTGTATTGGACCTTGGGACAGAAAGGTCTTTTTATTTTATGTTCTGGACGCTCCTGTCCACTATTTATCATAAACAGGGGCATATATGTAATTCAGCTCTTTTATTATTAATGTAAAAGGTGGGCCGACTGCTAGGAGAGGATATGAAGTCTAATCCTTCTCTAAAACAGATCGGCACTTTTTCTCTCTTCTCTCTCCTCCTCTCTTCTCTCCTTTCTTTCTTTCTTTTCTGGTTCAAACTCCATTTTAGCTCTGCGTTACCACTTTTCACATGGTATCAGAGCAGGTAACAAAAGGAAGATCAATTAGGGCTCTTCTTTACCATCGAACTGATTAGGTCTTCTTCTAGAAGACTGCCGTAGCTTGCTACAGGGATCGAACAAGGTTCAGCAGAATTTCTGGGTGATTAGTGATGGTTCTAATCATCACAGGTACTGTGATAGGTGATCAGTGAGTGTTTGTGACCCTCTAATAGATCGAAACCTAGAGGGAAAGGTGATAATTGAGTATGTTCAGTACTGTGAAGTGAAGACCTATGAATCTGTGATGAGACTGATGTCCTGATGAAACTAAGGCTGTGAAGTGACTTTTAGTGATGTGACGTGTGTGTGAACTGTGAACATGATCATGTTAGTAAATTTCAGTTGTGATTTCATTTTATGCCAGGATAGTGAAGTTCAATAGAGGTGAAATCACGTATTATGACCCCCACAACTTTTATGTTTTCCACAATTAAGTTGAATGGCAGTGAAAACTATGCTGTTTGGGCAAAATCAGTTGAAGTTTCCCTTACAGCTGTTGGGAAATTGAAGATTTGAAGTACTTCACTGATAACAAATTCGGGACTGATAGTTCTAAGTACTCACTGATAACAAGAATATGCACAAATTAAGACGTGGTTGTGGAACTCTATGGAGACAAAAGTCAGTAGTACCCTTATATTTCTTGATACTTCAAAGCAGATTTGGGAACAGGTAAAGAGGATGTACTCCAGGAGTAATAATATTGCTAGAATGTATTAGTTACTTCAATCATTCTTTAAATTAGAACAGGGAGATAAGTCCCTTGAATGTTACTACTCGGATATGGTGAGCATTTGTGAGGAGCTTAATATATACCACCCTGTTACCAGTGATGCAACTGTTATGGAAAAGCAGAGAAAGGAGTTATATGTGGCTAAATTTCTTTCAGGAATTAAACCTGAACACGAATCAGTGAGAGTGCAGATAATAGGCAGTCCAGAACTACCTGACATCAGAGGGCCAAATTATCTGAACCCATACAAGCATCTGATCGAGAAGCACTAGTTGTATCTGGAAGTAATAGACGGGGTCGTGGTACCTATGGAGGAGGCCATGGAAGTGGTGGTCATGGCCCCCCTAGATTTTCAGGTGGTATAGGTGATAATGGTGTTCATGGTGGTTGTGGACGAGATAGGAATGGTAGTACTAGGTTTTGTGCTCATTGTAGGCTAGAAGGACACACTGTTGGCTATTGTAGAGATCTGTATGGAGTTCATTTTTGTTCACATTGTCATCATGAGGGACATACTGTAGAGTATTGTCATCTATTGAAGAAACGAAGAAGTTATGCCAACCAAGTTACCTATCCAGATGATGTATCAGAGTCCCAACCACAGACAGTTGCTAGAAGCAATCAGCCAGATGGAAAGATAATGACTATTTCTAAGGAAGAATATAATTGATTGGTTGCAGCCTCATCTTCCTCCACTGCTACCCTTGCCCAGGCATCAGGTATTGGCTCTACCTGTCTTCTCTCTATTTCATCACCATCTCCATGGGTCATTGACTCAAGAGCTAGCAATCACATGTCAGATACTTCATCTACCTATTCTCAATTAAATCCTTTGGCATCTTCTATCCAACATGTTACTTGCTAATGGATATAAATCTCCAATATCTGGCATAGGACATGTGAACCCAAGATCCAAATTGTCTTTATCATCTGCTCTTTATGTACCTCACTTTCCTTTTAACTTTATGTCTATGAGTAAACTTACAAATCACTAAATTGTTCCATTACCTTTTTCCCTTCTCCTTGTGTGTTTCAGGACTTAAAGACGAAGAGGCAAATTGGTGGAGGAGTTGAACCTGTCAGTCTTTACTATTTGCAAGGTGACTTAGGACCTTCCTTTTTTTGAAGCAAAGGTAACTTTTTATTGAAGAAGAAAACCAGAAGTACATGAGAGGATGTACTGAAGCCAAGAGTGGCTTGGCAGAATTACAAAGGCAAACAACTGTCACTAAACAAGAAATCTCTAGAGACCCCTGATTTTGCTAGGCTATTAGCAATAGAATTTTGCTCCCTAGGAATCCAGACCAGCTTCACATTCATAGAGACTAAGATATCCCTAGCTTCAGCTAAGAAGTGGGCTAGTCTCCAGGGCTCTCCCTTCTCTTGTAACCAAGCTATAGCATTTGCAAAATCCCCTTTAATGGTTAAAGAGGATAAACCTAGCCATTTGGCAAGGCAAATTCCTGTGAGTGCAGCAAGGACCTCTGCCTTTGTGGCATCTGCCCTCCCAATTGGACAATTGTAAGCCCAGCAAATGTTCCCCCTTCCCCTCGGATTACACCTCTAATTCCTGCTTGACCTGTGGATCCTTGGGCACTACCATCAAAGTTGAGAGTCATTTTCTCCTTCTTCTTCTCTAAGAGACCATTTCATAGTCCACTCAGATCTTGGAGGAGTGTAGGATTTCTGGAAGGTTGCTCTGGAGATCATTTAGGGAGAGACCTTTGAAAACTTCAGAATTAATTACCCAAAGGTTGTAGAGATATGTGATGTAAGAAGTTAGATCTTCAGCATCTTCAGCATTTCTAGCTTTATTTGCAAAAATTCTATTGTTCCTTTCTTCCCAAATGCCCCACAAGACTGCATGAGTCACTGTATTCCAATATAATCTTCCACTTTTACCTAGACCTCTGCCTTACCATTGCCACAAGATGTCCACCACCTTCTCTGGGAACACCCAGTTGTAACCAACTAGGTTTAGGAAGAAGCACCAAATCTTCCTAGAGACCGAGCAATGGAAGAGGATGTGATCAGTTGTTTCTCCGTTGCCAAGGCAAAGAGGACAGACATGAGGGGAGATGCATAATCTGCCTCTAAACATTTTTCTGAATCAACTCGCAGGTGTTTATTCTCTTTAAATAGGCTTCCCACACGAAGGAGACTCTACGAGGAATGTGTGATCTCCAGACTTTCTTAGCCGGAAAGGGAGACTCTTGATCTTTTGACACTAGATCCTTGAAAAAGGAGTTAGTGGAGAACTTGCCAGCAGGATTAAGTTTCCACAGTCTCTAGTCAGGGGTAGCAAGAGAGATGTAAGCCTCATTAAGAGAGTTTAGCAAACTAGCTATATCAACAATTTCTATTTCTCTTAAAGGCCTTCTGAAGTTTAGATTCCAAGTTGTTCCCGAGGTGGCTTAGGACCTACTGCCTTACAGTCTTCTTCTAGTGTGTCTCCTTTTCAACTTCATTACCGGTTGGGCAACCCCTTAATTGCATAGTCTTCATGTCATGGTTCCTTCACTTCCGTCCAACACCAATTTTGAGTGCGATGCATGTCAGCTTAGCAAGCATCATCAAGCTGTTTTTCCTCCACGAGTTATGAGTCATGTGTCTAAACCTTTTCAGTTAATCCATTCAGATGTCTGGGGTCTGTGCCTTGTAGTGTCTTATTTGGGGTTTATTAGAATCTGACTTGCCTTAGAATTCTGTTAGAATGGCAACAGTAGAAGAAGAAGAAGAAGAAGAAGAAGAAGAAGAAGAGAAGAGAAGAGAGAGGGAGAAAGGTCTGGTTCGAACAAGAGAGAAAATCAGTCTCTCTCCATTCGGCCAGATTTGTTTTATATTTCTATTAATCAGGAAATGACTCCTTTGCCCCTACTTAAGTGAACACAAGAACTAATATAACTTTACACATCAGCAACTTAACATAAGCATAAAGACAAAATTACCCCTACACAGTCGACATTAACACTCCCCCTTAAGCTGGTGAGTATATATCATATAGTCCCAAGTTGTTACATATGTAGTCCACTCTTCCCTGACTCAACCCTTTGGTAAACAAGTTTGCCCATTAGTTTCCTGTGTTAACATATGTAGTATCTATCACTCCACTCAGCACCTTCTCTCACAAAGTCACAGTCAACCTCTATGTGCTTGGCTCTCTCATGAAACACTGGATTAGAAGAGATATGGACTGTAGCCTGATTGTCATAGTAGAGCTTCATTGGAGTGTCAATAGTGTATCCCATCTCCTGTAGAAGGTTCCTCAGCCACACTAATTCACAGGTAGTATGTGCCATAGCTCTATATTCTGCTTCTGCACTGCTTCTTGCCACAACTGTCTGCTTCTTACTTTTCCATGTCACCAGATTACCCCCAAGAAAAGTACAATAGCCTGTAGTGAATCTCCTATCAGATATAGAACCAGCCCAATCAGTATCGGTATATCCTTCTATTTCAAGTTTTCCTCCACTTCTATATATCAAACCACGACCAGGAGCCCCCTTTAAATACCTCACAATCCTTAGAATTGCATCCCAATGTGGAACCCGAGGTTTCTTCATGAACTGACTTACCACACTAACCGCAAATGAAATGTCTGGCCGAGTAATTGTTAGGTAGTTCATTTTACCTACTAGCCGCCAATACTTGCCAGGGTCTTCAAACTCTTCACCCATATCATTGCTCAACTTAGTGTTTGCTTCCATAGGTGTTTCAGCTGGTTTAGCACCTAACAATCCTGTTTCTTCCAACAAATCAAGAACATATTTCCTTTGACACAAGTTAATACCATGCTTAGACCTTGCTACTTCTATCCCCAAAAAACTTTAGTTTACCAAGGTCCTTTGTTTGAAAGTGTTCCTGCAGAAAGGTTTT